AAAACATACATAACTTGGCTCCCTAGCTGGTGCCAACCTCATGTCACGTTCCATATTCCAAAAATTTAATGTTGGCCCGACCGTGTCAGCCTACCTTGGCTGAACTTTGTGAGCTGGGTAGCCAAGCTTACATTTCCGATTGGGTAAACGATACGAGAAACTATTACTCTATAACTAAGGTTAATTGAAAAGTTAAATGGTAATGATTACATGTATATAGATAAAAAAAAGAAAAAAATAAAATAAAGAAAACTACGTACTACGTATAATAGATTAGATTTTCATCTTTAAAAATCATAGATAAAAAATAAATCTTACATTAGTACTAGTATTGCTACAAAAGAATTAGCTAGTAAATTTAATATTTTTTTTTTGTTTCTACATTTTACCGGCCTGTGAACAGGTACAAGCGTAATCTTTGCAAAATTACAACTGCAATAGCATTACTATTGTTTTGCGTTCTATACCGTAGTAAAATTAATTAATAAATCAATAAATAAATCTAGTTAAACTAAATTATTTAAGTAATAATATGCAGAAAAATCGTATACTTACTTCGAGCAGCACGTAAAGTATCACTGCTTGTGTATCTTTACCGCCCTCGATTTCGGCTCGGGCTCAAATTAGCCACACGAGCGATGATTAATTTAATCTCTGCTCTAAGTATGTAATATACCATTAAAAATTTTTTTCGGCAACTCTATTAAAAACCCCTAGAAATCTTCTGAAGAAAAATAAAAGTTTTGAATAATAAAAATAGATAAAAACATTTTTTTTAATTTTTTCTGAGTCGTCCTTGTGAGTAACAGTATCCAACCATAAATATACTTTATAGATTATTTCAATACTAAAGAGTAATTGAACCTCTCAACGAAATCAAAGTGATATTATCAAATAAGATGAAAAAAAGTTGTAAAATAAAATAAATCTATGTGTCATTATTTTCATTAATAAAAATATTGATCAACACTTAGCTTCACGATTTTTTAATTAAATATGTACCTTATAACCTCAAAGAATTTTTTACCCAACTCTTCGTACTCATCGCGTCTGACGTTGAGATCTCCCTGCCCCGTAGGGGGGCAGACTGGCCTTTTTTTAGACGTGTAATGTAGTACATTTTTCAGTGTCACTATGTGCTTAATTCGATTTAAATTTTATCATATGTTGTTCTCTAGACCTTTCTCTTTAAAAAGTACCCTACATCATTTGTATTGACGATTAGTACTATTAACAAGAGCTTTCTTACAGGTAGAGTGTCCGTACCGCCCCCCTCTCCCTTAGATAGTGCTTCAAAATGAGCAAATATTTTTTTCACATCAGTTAACACTGATTCCAATGGTGACACTATCCAAGCGGCAGGGCAAAACCCTTCTGAGTCTAATAATTTGTTATTACTGCATGAGGATTAATTATTATTAAGAATGTGTAAGTTAATTACTTATATATTTTAAACACCTCAATAATTCATTATCAACTGTAGTGAATGTGTATGCATGAACACATGTGAATTGTAGCACAGGGGTCTTATGCCACTCTAATGACTGCGACTAAGCGACAAAGCCATCTGATTTATTAATAAGATAATAAGTAAGGAAACTAAAGCAATCACATAATACAAAATTTAAAACGCGAGAAAGGTAAACATTATGATGCGGAAACACAGGATAAACTTCTAAATTTAAGGGCAATAATGTAACAGCTAAAATATGAAACTAATTTACGACGAATGAAAAGAAAGTAATTGTGAAAGCGTTTACGTTAATTGACGAAGTATAGGATGGGTTAGGGTTGAACTACATAAAAAACACTATTTATGAGCCACTGATGAAGATATAATTTATGGCTCAAAGGAGAAAACTCTTGCAAAAAAACCCCCTGAGAGGAAAAAACGACCGCTACAAAATTAAATAGAACAAATAATACCAACCTGATTTGAATTGGTGTGCAGATGTGGAGGTGTAAATGTGTAAGAGTGTGAGTGTAAGTGCGCATCCCCACTGTTCTCCTTCTCGTCTTCATGCGACGGTTCTTCGAGTGCGGATGTTCGCCGTGGGTGCTCATAGCACGTGGTGGATGTTGACGCGGCACGCGGCTGTATTTTAGTTTTAGACGAACCAAGACGAATTGATGCAAAAATACGTAAATGCGTCGTGGCGCTACAAAAAACTTCTCATAAACTCAAACGAGCAAAATTTGCCCAAGACAAGCTGCGTATACGATTTCTAAGAAAAACAACTGGAGACCGCTCTGTACAGAGACAAGTATCGGACTGGACAAGGCCTACCGAATTTTTCTAGCGGCGTTACCTTTTTTCTCTCCCCCTCAACCCCCCCTTTCTTTGTAATGCGCATCAATTAGCGGAGGTGTCATTCATCTCGAATGCCAATCGGGAGTCGGGACGCGAACAATGCCGAAGATCGGCGAGATAGACTAAGATGTCAGTTTTGATGAAGGAGAGAGAACGAGAATCTAACGCAATATAAGAAACGCGCGTAACTCGTGTGTGTGTGAAGTAAATGAAGTTAAGCGCAGTTTTATGTGTTGATGAGGACGAACGTGCTGTGAGCTTTGATCCCCCTTCGCTCACGTGGCGATACTCGATTGAGTCGCGTTCGACAAAACACAGGGTTTGTTCATTTGTCTACCTTGGAGCTCTCCAAGCGCTCC